AGTTTTCTTACGTTTTATAAAAGAGTTTTCTTATTGACTTTATTGTGAAAAGTTTTAATTCCGCACTAGTTTCCATACATATGTAATGAATGAATGCTAAGAGGCATGTATAAGACCTCTTCGAGGTCAAATACGCCGGTTACGACTAGGGGGTGATCTTGGGTCATGACAGTACTAAAACCAGGAGACTCGAGGGATGCCTAATTCATTTCCCTCGGTCAAACAGAATTTCTTACCCGAATTTCTAGTTTGCAGACCAAAGAAACAATCATTTCATTTTTATTAGGGATTAAACAAAAAGGTGACTTGGAATGCCACAACTCAATTCCAAATAGCGACTCTTAAAAATTAAATGATCTCTAAGCAATATCGTCATTTTAATTGTAAAACCCTTATTTGTCATGCGCAAAAAGGGGTGTGAGAAAAATCATATGGAATGATCCATTCCATATCAATTACATCAATAATCATATATGTTTCACTCTAAAAGCAATTCTTATCATAATCATCACATATACTTCAATCTCAAAGAAATTCATAATATACCTTATATTATCATATAAGAATACACACCTAAATCTATAAATTGTCCTTTCATTGAGTAAAATTCATTTACATCAATTTCATCTTAGAAACATGGGTTAAGCATGGGCACATGGAAATTTATCATGAAAAGCATAGATTTTCTTAATTCATGCATAAACAATTATAGTCCACTCAACTGGATCAACATTCATAAAGACCCACAACTTAAAAGAAAACCCCAACTCAAATTGGGAATTTCTACTTTTCAATTGGGGAACTTAAGAACTCCATGCATACAAGGATTTCATGGATGTATAAAGCTTTAATACCTTGTTATCAAAGCCTACAACACTGGAGAATGGAGACTTGACCTTGAGCCCTAGTTTCGATCCTTCTTCTTCTTCAAGTTCTAGAGAGAGAAATATTTTGGAAGGAAGAACTTTGGTCTTCTTTTAGAATTTTAGGAAAATAAATTGAATGAGATAATTTGGGTGATAAAATCACTTTTATATGGGTTTTACTCATAGGAAAAACGTTGTAGTATAGAGACAATAATTAGAAAAAAAAACCCAAAAAACCCTAGCAATAAATGCTGACCCACGACCTACGGACCCTAATCGACAGACCGTGTCTGACCGACGGTCCTTCCTGCCGATCCATCATTCGTGGTGAGAAAGTCTGATTTGGGCGTCATGGTCCACAGATCATGGCTTGACCAACGCTCTGTTGGTCTGGTTGTGGTTCCAAGACTTTTAGGCGCTCTTTGGGTACCTATCCACGGACCAGACCTATGGTCCGTGGTCGACTTCACGAGCCGTGGTTGGCCTCCGTCGATGGCATTTGGGACTTCTGAAATATTGTTATGTTGTCCTCTTTTGAATCCGGGGTGTTACATGCATTTACACTTTATGTTTTAGTATTACTTTAGTCTTATTTCAATTAAGTATGATTTTCTTGTTTCAATGTAAACATGTATCACATCAAATTATTGGACAAGTCATATATTTGTTGAAAGCATTTTCTTATTGGTTAAATCGGAAACTGAACCATTAAAGACCAAAAAATAATACATCAAAAATCAATAAAAAGATATCTTATTGGTTTCGTTATTGATATATCATATTTAAAATCAAAAATAGATAATATTTAAAGTCAAACTGAACTGACAGATACACACCTCTAGGTATACTCACCGTCGAACCTGTTGCAAGTCAAATTTATCTTCTCAAGGTACTTAAGACTTAAAAGAGCACTTGAATTCTCAATTGCACTGGAAATATACTCATTATCTAGTTCTAAGGCAATAACCAAAGAGATCACATTTCACCCCATCCCAACTGCAACATTCATTTGTGTTGTCGTTCCAACGCACCAACTTGGTAGAAAAACTAGAATTACATTGAATGATCCCTTTACTGTATCAACAATGACTATTGATCATTAAGACATTAAGAGGAAACAAAAAGAAAATATCTCCTTATAAGGTATAACAAGGGAATCAACAAAAAATATAGAAAGTGAAGAGTATGCATTTTTAATTATGCAACTTGTTAGGATAGATATGACTGAACAAGTATGATGTTACAAGAAATTATAAAAAGAGAAGCAAAGAAAATATCAACAGAAACTATTTAGTGTTAGTCCATTTGGTTCATTCAGTAGAAAACTTTACAATTTCTCACCAAATATATTTATTAAATGTGGAAAATAAATTTCAAAGCCATAATCTTTTGCGTTTTTTGTTACGTCTATGTTGGGACAGTGAATGGGATTTATAAGTATTTTTTTTGTTTTAGTTGACTCATATGCGCCACTAGGGGTGTTCATAATTTTGGTAAAAATCGATTCAAATTAGTTGATCTATTTGACTTGAATTCAAGTTAATAGGATCAACAGGAGCTTCAAATAATATATGATTGAACATAAAAAAATTTGAGTAAGGCTTAATTAACTCTCGATTCGAAGATCAGGGATAATTACGGATTCGATCGAGTTCAGTTACTTTGATTCAAACTATAAATTTGTAGTAATTTTTTTTAATTTGTACAAATTATTAATTTAGAACCTAATAACTTACAAGATTAGAATTTTAAACCCGTAAACTTTAATTTCTGAATCAATATATGTAGATGACACAACTTTACCGATTGAGAGGGTATTGAAAAATGATTGTATATTTTGATTGAAATTATATGGTAGTAAATTGTTGAAGAGATTGATCAGACCTCCTTTCCACCACTAAAGAAGGGCTTATAATCTTCTCATTTCACCAAACAATTAGTCCTCAATTTTTCAGTCGAACAACAGTATTATCATTTTAAAAAAATTTTAAAAATAATTATTTCATGATCTTAAATAAAGAACACACATTTTATACTAATATATATTTAATATGATGGAAAACACTTTTGGAAATTGTTTCTCAATCTTCTTATATTTAGTTGGTTTAGATGTTATTTTCAAATCAACTTATTTTTCTCAAATTTAAAGGAAATGATTTTCTTTAAAAATTAAGGAAAACATCTTCAAAACTTATTAAAAAAAATTCAAAAATATTTTCTTTACCAAAAAAATAATCAAATTATTGTGTCCCAATCCACCACCAAGAAAAATTTATTGGAAAAACAAAAAATTTAAACTCCTCTACCAACCTCACCCCAAAAAAACAAGACAAAAAAAAAATTAAATTTTCTTTTCATTTCAAAATACGATGTTTAGGTCGCAACTCAAATATGGATGAATCCAGACTAGAAAGTTGGGGTTGAAAATAAGAGAGATTTTCTTTAAAATGTTTTTATTCACAAATCAAACATTTAGAACATTTTCTATCTACCAACAAGCATAAGAAAATAAAGTCAAAAACAGTTGTTTTTTAGTAAAACATTTTCCCTTCATTCCAAACACCATAATATTCAATTGCTTTGCATTCCTAGAAAATACTCTGGGACCTTAGCTACTCTAATGTCGATATACAAAATATATCTAGTTTCTAAACATATTACAAAAAAAAAAACATTACATTAAGCATACAATAAACAGCATTAATGTTAAATTGTTTTCGAATACAAAAAAAAAAACGTTTCATTCCTTGATAACAGATTAACAAGAAAATAATACCACATGACAAAATTTTACTCCTTCCAATTAAAAATTTAATAGTGAATCTGACTATACTTAAAAACAAAGGCAAATGATAAATTAAAAATTACTGGTGGAACAAACTTATATTCACAAGGGAATAGATAACATAGAGCTTGAAGTTTTTAACTACTACTGAAGAACTTTACAGTAACCAGGAAAAAAAAAGGCAAACTAAAACAACTAATATACAAGGCCACCTTATCGCTATTGAAGAAAAAAACAAAAGGCCCAGTTATGGACATGGCCACTAAGTTTACAGTGTGCCAACTGGATCCATTCAACAAACCCAGTATAGTACACAAAACACGCCTAAGGACTAAGGCTGCTCGTAAATACCCTTCTATTTGATATACATGAACACAACTAAGCTCCAATACGATTACTAGCTTCAACCAATTCATTCATCTGCGCCGTACATGAGCTTTGCTATCACTCTGTATCCTATCCGCATACATTGGCAGTCGAATGATCTCATAAATCTCATTCAACAACACCTCTTCAGTGATGTTGTCGGTAATACTTCTCATCACCTGAATTTTAGTACAGGAACCATCATTACTCGTTCAGGGACCATAATCTATCTAAAAGATGACAAAGTATGGAAAAGCTTCTAATAAACTAAAGTCTACAAAGCAACTGCAAAAAGTTTATTGTCATTATAGAAATACCTTTCTGTACGTGTTGTAATCATTCGGAGTTCCTTTATCAACTCTGGTCCTCATCCATATCCATTTTTGGTTATTGGTATCAAAAGAGCACTCTATTATTTTATCAGAGTAGGCTGACGGATCAGAACCATCTAAAACATGAAAGAACCCAACATTTCAGGATACGTGCAAAAGGTAAAATACACAGAGAAGCGGGAGGGGGACAAAAATAACACAGAAGTTAACGGAATACAAATAAAGCACAAGAGATGCGCTTAGATATGCCACACTAAAGGAAAACAGATTATACATTTGCCTGGATGTCCCTTAACCTCATAACTGGAATAAGTAACTCACCAACACAATCACAAGGACCAACCATTGGATGTCCCTTAACCTCATAACTGGAATCAGAAACAAAATTGTTGAAATGAAGTGAAGCTTGAGAGGTACATGGTGCATGTCCTAGTCTCACTACGATGGTCTGGTTACTCAAAAATTTAGACTTGCAAAAGACCCTAACACTGTTTGGATTATTGTTTGATGTTGTTTCATAATATATTGTATTGTATTATACTGTATGATAGATACAATGTTTGGTTAGCCTCTATTTTTTTGTTTAATAACATTTTTATTGTTTGGTTTGATTGTATCGTTTCGTATTGTAATATTATAAACATACTAAAATTTCCTTAATTATTCTAGGGTAGGGGGTTTGACTAGAATCAAATAATATAGGATAAAAGGGTAAAATAGTATTATGAAATATTAAGTAAGATACATTGAAAAAAGAAATTAAGTAACAACAAAATTTAACAATACAATACAATACATGTTAAGTAACAATTCGAACAAACATTGTAGGTATGATAACGATACAATACAACACAATCGATAACAATGATCCAAACAGAGTGTATATTTGGATTCATCTTGTTCACAATCACATGTGACGAGGAATTTCTGTGGTTCCATGGTTACGTTCCTGAAATTGCAAAAGAAGCTTCGACTACCCCTTGATTCATTTAAATCTTGTTCTGGCGATCCAACTAATCCAAACTAATATGTCTGATCTCTTTAACCTTAGCATCTGATCCAATTTCAAGTTGTGGAATATCCACATTCTATTTACACTAAGCCTTTACAGACCAAAAAATAAAAGCAAGAAAATGTATCTACTTTTTCTTTTTTTGGCTAAGAAGAATATGCATCTTGAGCTTACAAGAGAGTAGGATCAGAAAGGAGGATCAGTTGTGAAATAGCAACCTTGCCGTAAGGTTTTAGTCACAGCAAGAAGTACCTCTAGATTTTGTATATATATTCTTACTACTCCCTCAGTTGTCAGTTCCTTTTTTACTTGTCCCTGGTAATACAAATGAGTTCCCTTTTTACTTGTCGCAAATCAAGAGATTTTATCATTTTCTTCCAATATTACCCTTATCATTAAAAACTACATAAAGTATTAGTAGTCAAACTTAAATTCCAAAGCATAAATAAAAATGTGGGTTTAGTATAATAGACACAGAAGGTGCTAAGTCAACGTGGGCCAAGTAAAAGAGAGCGGAGAGAGTACTACTTAGCACCAAAGAGGAATCTTGACAGCTGCAAGAGGAGTGAATTAGCCCCCTTGACTTTTTAGATCATTCTCTAATGAAGGTTTCAACTCCATCAAATAATATCACTGCATCCAGTTCCCCCACAAAACAATTTTGATAAGAAATAAAATCCACCAGGGTCAGTAAAGTATACAAGACAGCAATAAAAACCAAACGAGTTCACAGTTATAAAAAAAATTGTAAAAATTAACGAGTATGGATGTAGATGATATTAGTCTCTTATACTTCCAACTTAACCTCAATTAAGGGAAACATTCCTGCACGACACCACAAGTATATAACTAATATAACTGTGGATTTCTGACCTGGGAAAATAACTCTATTCCCCTCCATTAGTTTCTTCTTCCCTCGTTCATGTAGATACAGCAATTCACGATCATCGATCACCTGCCATATGATCAGAGATAATCATACTTATTTCCAATCGGAGAACATGAAACATGATACACTTCACAAAAAAAAAAAGTCTGCCTTGTTGAAGAATTAAAGTATCAATCTAAAACCTTAGCTATTAGAGAAAGAACACTTTTGATAACTCAAATTATCTCAGCACATCCCCTGACATGCGGGTCTGATTCTTTTTCATGGGCCAAGCATGTGGAAACTCTTTTTGATAATGGGTGACAGCGAGACTAGAACCAAGGACCATCGCTTGCCTTAATATTATGTTTGTGATCATCTTTCCTAAAACCTTAAGCTCTTCGTTTTATTAGCTTAGCTATCTCAACATGCTTGAAGCATGGAAATAAATGATATTGACAGGTAAGGTGTAGGAGCATAACAACAAACCAAAAGGATAAGGAGGAAATAGCAACAACTCTATTCACTAGGAGAGCAGAGTACAACCTCAAACAGAAAGTCAACTGAGTTCATTTCAGGGTATTTCCACTTCAAGAGACCCTCATGAGTGCGAGGAACATAAGGATCATCCCAACCCTAACACAGAAAGAAAACAGGGTGGCTCAGTATCCAGAACCTAAATTCATCTGTATGATTTATGCATCTCCGTCCTGTTAGCCATAAACATGTCATTATCAATAACATGCAAGAGGATGTGCTTCTAATTCTATCTGCAACATAACAGCAAACGTAGATAAAGGTCGGAAACCACTTCCACAGAGAGTTTTCCAACATAGCAGCCAAAACATACATGTCATATAACTTGGTAACATCCTAAGTGATGTAAGAAATTAACTCCTCAGGAGAAATCCAATACAACACTAGAACAAGAAGCAATTCAGAATAGGTACTCTTTAGCACCTGAAAAATAAGACCATCAGCTTCATGTGAAAGCTTTGGGATAAATTCTTTGAGAAGTTTTGTTACAGTAGAGAGCAGAAAAAAATCCTTCCTCCTCACCTGATAAACATTGAGAAATCAGCAGCCACTTAGGCAGAACAAATAGTAGTAGAAAATTACAATATATTCCAATTTTGACAAACATACCCTGAAAGGCTCCAACTCATATCTATAGTAAGGGTTTCTACTCTGGTATATATGTTGACGTTCATAATTTCTTGGACCAATCACTTCTTTGTCGATCATTCTCCACCGTTCATAAAAGGGTCGCTGTAAAATTATAGAACAGAGAATTAACAACAATATACACATAATTCCAAAGAGAACCAAAAGACCCCTAAGCATATAGCTAACATAAATTTTTCAAGAAGGAAAGGAAGGTGGTTTCATATCGAAGAATCCAACCTCGATGACAGACACATGGTTCAGGGCCATCATATCATAAATTAGGTATCTCCTTTCCTGCTTCTGTGTGTCAGGCAAAGTATCAATTACCATCTCTCCATCAAGTAAAGTGAAGTGGTGGGTCTTTTCAGCTAAACCCTGGGAGAAAATATCATATAATAAATCATATATACAGATAATTTCAAATAGTGAGACATAAAAGGGAAAAAGAGATCAGGACATCCTAATAGCTAACTGGACATTAGCATACTTCATTAGTGTGTCTGCAAGGAAATCTCATCTGAACCCTCCGGAAGTTGAAATGCCTATCAATTAAGAAACAGCCATCCATTGTGATCAGCATCATATATCGTGTCCCATCAGCCTTCCATGTAGCATAGTAGTAACGCTGCCTTAATAACTGCAAGTTTTCCCTGCACATCATGACAACGATTACCTTGGATGAATCTTAATTTATCACCTTCGTTTCTTTCTGTGGGATGCTACCATGGTTTATAAGGCAGCTAGCCAGTTTAACAAATAAACAATTGTTTTCTCAGAGAATATATTAATATCCATGTCCGAGTCCATATGAGGTTCCGGTATGACGATACGACAAGATTATTATCCATGAGTAAAATTTGTACAAGGGATTTAGAAATTAACTACTCAGAACACTTGATGGACAAGCTATCATGCAGAATAAAACAATATTAGCAGAACAAACAAAACAAACCTATTTCATGCTCGGCAAACATAATATCCCGGTCACTGTCGAAGACACATACAACCACCCAACTAAGGTAATTGATTCCAAATTAAAAAGATGGGTCTTTCTGCCTATTTGGCAGGTCACAAAAATCAAGAAGTATTTCAGTCTGATCATTTAAACATCCCAAAAACTTGGAAGTTCATGAACTACCAAAACCCCTCTTCTGTTCAAGTAGTTACTTTATTTTCAGGATCAGATCTAACTAAAACAAAACTATAAATGTGGGTTCAGAGAATATAAGCTATTGTGAAGACACTTCAAAGAAAAGTTTAGTTGCAACGTTTGTAGAAATACAGGTAAAAATATTTGGGAGTAAGTCCACAACTTCTGCAATAACAAATGATGACTAAGGGATATTCATGGTTGGGAGACGGACACTGAACCTGTCATCCAAAAAACTACGAAAAATATAATGAATCCAACAGCAATTAGAACACCAGAAATATATACATGATCGGAAAAAAACCTAGGAAAGGCCAGAGTCCATTTTCTATCATAAGCCAAATCACTCAGATAAACCAGCCAAAATCCAATTAATAGCCTGCTTAGGCACTTAATAAGTGCTGAAAAAACACTCAACTATTTTTCAAAACTGGATTTTTATTTATTTATTTTGAAACTGGACAGCACTCAACTTTTTTGTCTCATAGTAAGAAAAGTAGAGTATCGAAATAAGCTCTTTATGCAAATGAAGCAAAAATAACAACCAAGTTTTATTCTATACCAAGTATGCTGTAATTTGTCAATCACATTAGACAACTTAAGGCTTAAACTGAAGAAAGCAAGAACTAGACGCCTGAAGAGAATAAAGAAATAATCATGATAATCACTTCACAAGTGATTTTACATGTTACATGCCACTGTAACAAACTTTGCAGTAAAACAAACTTCACCCATCTCAAAGAAAAAAGATCACTGGACCCATATTCACTAACAAGCTTCAAATCAACCATTAAGCATATTACTGTTAGCTATTTGAATCATGGAGGTGGATTTTTATATTGTTTGTTGTATTTGATATGTCGAGTAGCATTTTTGACATAGTAACTATTTCTATTTCTGTAGCAAGGTAAATGGGTTCTACTGAAACCATATTTACAAAAATTACTCAAAATCTTCTATCATATCCTTGTAATGAGACTAAGACATCAATGATACAAACAGTATCATTAGAGTATATCTGGTTACACCAAAAACATAGTCAAAATACAATTCATTTTGACTTGTTCTATAGTATTCTCCATATTCTCAAAGACACTAAGGTTCCTCTCCTTCCATATTGTCCACCATGTAGCCGCAGGTACAATCCTCCAGTTGTTTCTGTTTTTAGCGTGAACTCCGGCTTCTTCCCGACTGTGTAATGCTTCAGTGATTTGCCCTGGCATGGACCAAGATATGTTTTCGAGACATAGGAATAATCTCCATAGTTGACTTGTGACCTTGCAATGTATAAATAGTTGAACCACTGTTTCTGCAGTTTCCCCACAAAAAAAGAACATCTCGAACATAAAGGGGTCCCCTTTTTCATCAAAATATCTTGTGTCAGCACTACTTCCTTAGTTATAACCAGACAAAGCAAGCTACTTTGGTGTGGGATTTTGGCTTTCCAAATGTGTTTCCAAGGGCATCGAAGTATCGGCTGGTTTGGTTGGTTCATCTTCACCCACTAAATTGGTCGATGGTGCTGAAGAATTTTGGTACTCTTGGTATTTCCATTGAGGTGTCTCCTCAACACAAAATTCCACCCTTGAGGTGTCTACAATTCTGTTCTTGTGCTCTGTTGATATAAACTGAGTTATAAATATCAAGGACGAATGTCTCCACGTTACCTGCTTCGAGCCAGTCATCCTTCGAGAATAAAGTTTTAACTCCATCTGCCACTTTGACTATGGTGTTAACTTTGATTTCATTCCACAAAATTTGGATAGATTTCCATGAGCTAACACAATAAGGAGTAGTGACCTCCTTTGTCATCCAATTATCGTTCTTCTCATATTTATCTTTAATGACTCTAACCCATAGACTTCAATTTTCATTTTAATATTTCCATAACCATCTCATTCTTATAGCTTTACACTGATTCTTCAGATTTTTGGTCCCCAATCCCCCAAATCTTTTCTCATTGATCACTGCCTTCCCAATCCCCCGCACCAGAGTCGCGTCGAGACGGGTTCGCCTGCATATATGAAGAGTCCGCGCAACATAGCATTTCTCGATCATCCCATTCAAAAGCTTTCCATAGACAAAGACTTGGCCCCAAAAGGCAATTCAAGGTAGATGGTTGGTAGAGCACCCACTTCACACCCTAAGATTCCATGTTTGGCACTTCATTAACCGAGTATAAGAAGCTTTTCCTCCCGTGAACATGTAAACCTGACATTCCTTCAAATATTACCGAGATTAGTCTTGGTATTTCGAGATGCTCTTCCTCAACATCACAGAATATAAGTGTCATCTACATACTGAAGATAAGTTATCTTTAAGCTATCCCTTCCAGCTCTAGCAACCTCAAATATCTTAACCAACATTCCTTGTTTGTTGTCTTAATTATGTTGTTCAGTCCCTCCATGACTAAGAGGAACAAAAAGGGTGATAGAGTATCACCTTGTCTTAAAATAACCTGTTGGTGAACCATTATTAAGTAAAGAGAATTTTAATCCACTGATTCCATTTAATCCAAATCCCATCTTCTCTAGCATATCCATAAGAAAGACTCAATTGACATGATCATATGCTTTCTCAATGTCTAATTTGCATAGGTTTCCGGGTTTCTTCAAGTTCACCCTAGACTCTATTACTTCATCTGCTCTGGGGCAGCATCCATAATTTGTCTTCCTTTGATGAAGTCTAGTTGTTGTGAGTCCACAAGCTTAGCCATCACTCTTTTATACCTTTTAAGTAAGCACTTTGGAGAGCAACTTGTAATACTACCTATCAAACCGATGAGTCTGAAGTCTATTAATTCTTTAGCACCTTTCTTCTTTGGAATAAGAGCTATGGAGGTAGCATTGAAACTTCTTTCAAACCTTCCTTGCTCGTACAAATTCTGGAAGGTCTTCTTGATATCATTTTTTCCCACTTCCCAACACTTGATGTAGAACCCAATGTAAACCCATTTGGATCGGGTGTTTTATCAATTGCACATTGCTTAAGGCATTTCAGTACCACCTCCTCTTCATACCCCCTTTCTAAATCTTCCATTTCCTCCACTGTCAGCCTTGGGCAATTTGTGAAGTTGCTGGCAGGCCAACACCAGACATTCTTTGAGTACAAGTTCTAGTAAAATTCCACTATTTCCACTTGAATCCTTTCTTGATCACTAATCAGATCCCCTTGAACAAGAAGTGGGTCAATTATATTATATTTTTGTGTGCGTTAGCCATCTTGTTGGACGTCAACCAAGATAAAATTTATTTCCAAATCAACATTGTTAGAATAGAAATAAGTATTTCCTACTTAAAATAGGAATAAGAATAGGAATCCTAGTTGGAAAAGAATTCTAATGTATTGTCTATAAATGGGGTATCAATGTAACAATTTAGATACAAAATTCAGTAATATTTTTTTCATGTATTTCTTTCTCAGATGGTATTAGAGCATCAGTGAGAACAACAAGTCCATGTATGTCATTTCCGATGGTTGTTGGGTCTGATTTCTGTCAATATTTTTTATTATTTTTCTGTATGTGGGTGTGTTGTGGGGAATTCAACACCACCACGAGACTCAAAAAGCTCCCGCGACCAAACCCCAGCCAAAATCACCAGAAAATACTAACCTATGTGCACTTTTGCGCCGATCAAAGGTTGTATTTTCCGATGAGATCTGACACAAGCGCCAGCGCGTGAGGCCTATTCCGATAAATTTTTTCAAGAATTCTTTCTTCTATTGGGATCGTCCAGTATTTACGACCAGAATCCATTCAGTTTTCTCCAGATCATATCACTGGAATTAGGGCTTCGATGATTTTCGGGCAGTTTCCGACAAAATCAAACCACTATAGGGAAGTTTCCGACATGTTTGTGGCAAAATCAAAATTTCCAGGCCACTGTCGGCCGATTCCGACATCTTCCAAAATTTTCAAACTAGTGTAGCAGTGTCCGTCAGTTTCTAGCATACATACTAGTCTATAGAGAATCGACGAGGAGGAGAACGGTTTGGAAAACCTCGATTTTAGTGTAGTCATTGTCATAAACATGAACACACACGTGACATGTTATATTTTATATGGTCCACCACCCAGTTATGATTCTATTGTTCTAAAGAAATATAATGGGCTGCTTTGATATCGCGCAAGTAAACAAAATTTTGGAAAACCTCGATTTAACTGTAGTCATTGCCATAAACCTAGACACACTAATGACATGTTATATTTTGCATAGTACACCACCCAGTTATGAACCTATTGTTCTTGTTAGAATAGAAATATGTATAAGTATTCCTACTTAGAATAGGAAGAAGAATAGGAATAGAAATCCTAGTTAGGAAAGGATTCAATGTATTGTCTAATAATCGGGTCTCAATTTAACAATTTAGATACACAATTCAATAATATATTTCCCATATATTTCTCACATGGTATCAGAGCATTGGTGAGAACTTCAAGTCATTGTATCAAATTTCGGCAACGACGGTAGGCCTGATTTGTGTCATCTTTCGTTCTGAAGGTGTTGTGCAAAAGACAACACCATCACGAGGCTCGGGAAACTCAATCGACCGAACCCCAACTAGATCCATAGGAAAATAACCCCCACGTGTCGACTGAAGGTTGAAGTTTTCCGGCAAGATCTGGTCACGCACTGGTGCGTGAGTGCTTCTCCAATCAGTTTTTGTCTAGTAGTTTTCTTTCGTTGGGGTCACCCAGTGTTTTCGACAAGTACCCATTTAGTTTTCTCTAGATCCGATCACCGGAATAAGGGTTCCGGTGATTTTCAGGGAGTTTCCAACAAGTTCCCAACGAAATGAGGCCACTGTAGGTAAATTCCGACAGTTTCCAGGAAGTTTCTTACTATTTTCAAGTCAAATTTTGAAAAATGTCTTTCGGTTGTGATGTTTTTGGCTCCAAAAAAGAGAGGTATTGGAAGTTCAAGCCTTACAATCACTTCAAAACCATTAATGGAAAGTTCAAACAATTTAGCTTGGGCTTCATCAGTTGAGTTGTAGTGCAAGGGTCAAGGTGTTCAAGATTATTTAACAAACAATGCTTGTGTTGTAAATGAAAAGACAATCTAGTGATGAAGATGCAAAAGCCAAAGCACAATGGGAGAAAGCGGATGCCCAATTATGTAGTCTCCTTTGGCGCTCTATTGATTTTATGTTGATGCCTTTGTTTTGCCCATTCCAGACATCTTACTTAGTTTGGGAAAAGGCACGTGCTTTATACACTAATGACATATCTCGATTCGATGATGTGATATCTCGGATGACCAACTCAAAGAAACAAGAATCTGATGTCTACTTGGTAAAAGTAAACGCAGTCATGGAGGAATTTGAAACATTGATACCTATCACTACAAACGTGAAAAGCAACAAGAGCAACGACAGACATTGTTTCTAGTTCTTACACTTGCTGGACTTCCTACTGACTATAACTTTGTGTGTAACCAGATTCTAGCCAGTCCTACAGTTCCCTCAATTGTTCGACATCCGGATATTCTGTTTTAGTAAGAAGTAATTTGGAGTCTTGGAAGAGTAAGAAACAAAGTGGTTGCTCGATCTAGTGCAAAATCAGAATATGCAGCAATGGCAACAACTACTTGTGAGCTAGTTTGGATCAACAGTTGTTGGGAGATCTAAATTTGGCAAAATTTATCAGATGGAACTTGTGTGTGACAATCAAGAGGCTCTTCATATCGCAAAATACTCTCAGGAGATATTGTTACAAAATTCGTGAAGACAAATGATCAACTTGCAGATATGTTCACCAAGTCCCTCATAGGTGCTCGCATTAATTACATGTGTAACAAGCTAGGTACATATGATTTGTATGCACCAGCTTGAGGGGGAGTGTTAGAGTAGAAACAAGTATTTCCTACTTAAAATAGGAATAGCCATCCTAGTTGGAAAAGGATTCTAATTTAGTGTCTTTAAATAAGGTCTCGATGTAACAATTTAGATACACAATTCAATAATATTTTTTCCATATATTTCTCACAAACATGTTCCCTGCTTTTAATTAATCCAACTCAGTGGGGTCGAGGATAACTCATTCTTCAGCAACATAGATACTTCAGGCTTTGATGTCTTCACGCTTTTATTTAACAGCAATATCACAGAAAACAAATATTGGAATTCACATTCAGATATGCAGTTCTCAGCTTGATAAGCCAATTGGAAGTCCTCAACTAATTAGAAACACCTAATTGAAATATCTGTTCAAACAAATGTAAAGTTTGAAATCACATACTGGCCAGGAATGTATCACTACTGCATCACTTCCACATGAAAGAAGTCCGAAATATAACAGCATTATTCGTGTTAAAGACAATTAACACATTGCATCACACAGTACCAGCTTTTTGAAAATGGTACCAGTACATAAATTTGAGCATGAAGGCTATGCAGGAGCCATATTTACAAGCCTCACAAAGTTACACAGTATCCCAGTTCTACTGTCACACAGCAACAGTTTCTACTGTCATCTCCACATATCAAGGAATGCAGATAAATGTCATGTATCAACTTACGTGGAACCTTTTCCCCTTTTGATAAATTAACTTTATGCAGTTTTTATTCTGATTTAGGTGAGACCAACTCTGATAATTTCCTTTTTCTTTCCAGATGTGGGTGAAAAGAGCCCTCTTGTATGCATGGTTAAGCGTAATATCCTAAACCTATGGTTACGCTTGACTAGACCAAAAATATATAATGGAGTTAAAGTTCTCGAAATAAGGACTGGAACCAAACCTGTCAAGAGAGACTGGATGTGAACCAGGAAACTGTGGGCCTCTACCCTGAAAGACAAATACACCAAAAGGATTTATGATCTAGAATTGGAACAGCAGACACATATATATTTTGCAGTAAGTAGTCTACATAATCCACAACTGCACAGTAGAAAGTGAGTCCACAGCAAGATCGAAAATAAAAAGTAACGCACAAAAACAATACAGGAAATCTGCATATATAAATTTCCATGCAATAATTATAAAGACATCAAAGATCCAATTGCAAAATTCCTACCCCTGGGGTCATTTTCAGTGCTTGATAACAGAACTGTCGTAAATAATTTTGCTGATCTTGGGGGATTGCATCTCCCAAAATGTCATCATTTGAGGTTACTACTTGTGCTTCAAGATTGTCCTGAGAAGGGAGAAAATGAGTTATGAGGAAATTATAAAAGCTCTCTTTCAAATAAACAAACTTTACTACACTGCAAAAATAGAGAGACCAAAACCATAACATGTTGGTATAAAGATGTAATCAATCAAAAGCATCTGTATTCTTGATTATGTTATCATGATGAATTTATACTCTAGATTCTAGAACCTGCACCATTTGAATAAATTACTAAATTGAGTTTTCTAGCGCAGTGTTCTAAACAATTGTTAGGAATGTGAAAAGTGGAAAAGTTAGTTGGTTGGTAAGACATCAAAAAAAGTTGGAAGTAATATAAGTTTCTACCAGTTTGAATGATGGGAACAGAGACTTCTCATTTAACGAATGATCATATTTTGGGACAGACCAAATGGAAAGAAACATCAGGTATACTAGCACGGAGTGGTAGATTGGACGACATCAAGCAAAAACAAGTCACTCTTCGTAAAGAATAACATGATTTCACAAACAAGACCCCTCCTTTCACTTCAGTGCAATCCTCACAAACTTCCATTCTCTCTTCCTATCTGCATTGCCTCCCGTCTTTGTTTTACACATACACACACTCCCCCCCGGATGCGCCGCGTTTCTTCCCACTATTTGCCCCACTCACACCTTCTCTACTACATCCCCATGACCAATTTTCTCGCTCAACTCTCTGGCTCTCTGATAAGGCACGTATCTTCCATACTTGTTCAAGGAGGAAGAAGCAAAGAAGGATAGGAGAAGATACCGATTTGCATCATCTCAAATTACTAGAGGTTTCACCCATGGAGCAATGAGCAATTTCTTACTGTTATTAGGAGTTATTTGGAAGTTTCTAACTGTTATTAAGAGTTATCTATCCTTATCTTAAATAATTATAAAGTAGTTATTATTTCTCTATTATGTAATAGGAGATCTAGTAAATAAGTAGTGATATGGTAATATATCTTTTAAGATACTTGTCTCTCTTTGTATTTTCTATTGTTTTTATTCGGTATAAAACCTCGGTTCTTATCATTGGTATTAAAGCAATCAGATCTGTCATGGTAAACACACGAACCAACGCTTCCCACAGCGAACCTATCATGTCGACTCCTGATCAGATTGGTTAGCAATTAACCACTAAAGTAAAGAAATTGGGAGTCATTAACGCTTTGGCTGCTGATGTAGCTGCATTAAAAGCACAAATATGCAAAATCAACATGGAAAGTCTAAAGTTTTACAGAAAGAGGTTGAGGTTGAGGTTGATAGCACTTGGAGGCATTAAGAAATTATCGACGTTGTCACACAAAGATGGAATTTCCTAAGTACGAAGGAGGAGATCCTCGAGGTTGGATTTTGAAAGCAGAGAAGTATTTTCAAAATTATCAAACACCTATGATTGCAAGGTTGATGTGGCTTCAATGTATTTGGAAGGAGATGCATTGGATCTTTTTGCTTGGATCATCAGTGAAAGAACAATTTTATTAGTGGGATGAGTTGGTGAAAGTTGGTGAAAGTTATGCAGGAAAATTACGGACCCGCTGAGTTTCAAAATCTAGATGAAAATTTGTGTAGTATCCAACAGAATGAATCAATTTTCGAGTATAGGCAGGAATTTGCAAAATGGGCAGCCCGTGTGCGAACTTGGCCAATACATTGTTTGCTTGGACTTTTCCTTAGCAGACTCAAAGAAGACCTTCGTGTGGACGTTAGGATTCATAAGCCTCGATTTGGGTATAAGGCGATGAGTTTGGCCTTAGAATATGAAGGAAAACAAGGACTAAATCAGTCCAGTAAGGTGCCTGCTTGGCATCTGTATTTAAAACCTTCATCTATAGAGACTTCCTCTCCAACGACTCGAGAATCCTCTAATTTTCAATCATCCCGCCAACCAGCTACACACCCTTTTTAATAGTCATCTCTTCCAAACACTTGCCTATTGAATTCTGAACAACAAATTCGGCGAGAAAAAGGCCTATGCTACCGTTGTGGAGACAAGTTTACTCCTGGTCATCGCTGCGAACCTAGGACTTTTGCACAATTGGAGTTGATGCAAGAGGAAAACCATGTTCAAAGTGTTGACGGTAACCAAAATGAAGACATACCCCCTACTGATTTGGGGGAAATCTCTATTCATGCAATTTTGGACAAAGAATCTACTTCAACTTTGAAACTTGAAGGCACTCTTTGCAAGCATAAAGTGTTTATGTTGGTACATAGTGGTTCTACACATAATTTTGTAGCAGAAGAAATTGTCACAAAAGTTGGGTTTGCAATCAAATATATCACTACTTTGGTGTCCATGTAGGCAATGGTGATATTATCAAATGCAACAAAGTTTGTCATGACCTATCAGTAGATGTTTCTAACTTGGTCATAAAACACAATTTTTTCCCTTTTTCCTTTAGTGGCGTAGATATGGTGTTGGGTATACAATGGCTAGCATCCTTGAACACAATACAAGCCAGTTGGAACGAGATGTTCCTAATTTTCCAATTGAATGAGAAAACTTATAAATTGCAAGGTGTAAGGTGTTCCTCAGAAGACGCTCATACCAACATCTTTCCAATCAGACCTTGAAGAACAAATGTTGCCCAGAGATGCAATGTTAAACCTTATAAAGGCAGATTATAAGCACATAGACCTCTCTTCTAATGTTGGTGATGCTTTTGTTTTACGTCTTCATCTATATGGCCAAAAATCTTTTTTAGCGGCAAAGTTTCCAGATTTTCGCTTTGATGACAAGTCGCCTTTCTAGGAGGGATGTACTGACAAGGCACGTGTCTTCCATACTTATTCAAGGAGGAAGAAGCGAAGAAAGATAGGAGAAGATACTGATTTGCATCTTCTCAAATAATGGAGGTTTCAAACATGGAGCAATGAACAGTTTCTTACTGTTATTAGGAGTTATTTTGCAGTTTATTGTTATAAGGAGTTATCTATCTTATCCAAAATAGTTAGAAAATAGTTATTATTCATCTATTATATAATAGGAGATCTAATAAATAAGTAGACAGATGGTAATATATCTTTTAAATGCAGAAAAGGTTGTTCTAAAGATACGAGATACTTGCCTCTCTTTGTATTTTCTATTTCGAGATACGAGATACTTGTCTCTTTTTGTATTTTCTATTGTTTTTATTCAATATAAAACCTCGATTTCTATCACTCTCCCAGTTTTTCTGTTTTTCTGGAACACAAAATTTCAAATAGTAAAAGGTGAATAAAATAGAACAGGGAAAATATATAGTAGATTGTCTGCAAATGCTCGCTTTCCTATGAAGAATCAGTCCTACAAATTAATTTTTCAGTAACCATTTTGATAAAAAGGCCAGTCATCAAAACCTTGAAAAGCAGTGAAGGAGCGCTGATATAATATAACAAAATACCAAAATACTTTTTTCCCAGCAAAAGATTACAGAAAAAGGAGGACAAACTTCATTTATCTTTTTAGAATGTCAGCAAAAATGATACCACTAGCATGTGTATTTCTTAAAATTTTCATGCCAAACACTCTTAATCAAGCTAGAAAATACTATAGTTGCTCGAAGCCTAAGCAAGTTAGACATCTCTTAGCACTTTTTAGCCGCTTTTGTCGAGCTTTTAAGAAAAACTAGATTTCTTCTTGGGTGTGTGTTTCTTTAATTGGTGGAGCATACTTTGTTTATCTTTCTAGAAGGTCAGCAAACATGACACCATTAGCACGTGTATTTTTTCAATTTTTCATGGCAAGCACACTTCATCAAGCTAGAAAATATTCTGCTTGCTCCAAATCTGAGCAAAGTTAGATCTCTTCTAGCACTGTTTACCCACTATTATCATGCTTCTAAGAAAAACTAGATTTCTTCTTGAGTGTGTCTTATTTGGTGGAGGATCAAAGGCGATGAAATAGGCTGTCAGTGGAGGTAAAAACGCTCAAATGCAAATAAGAATACAAATATGGCAGTACACAGTTTTCATAATTTATAGGAGAAATTCGTTATCAGTTAGGCACCCAGTCAGACATATGGATGATGACCCAAAATTCTTCAGCATTAAATTTTGGCTACTTATTTCTCACCCTTAATCTGCTAACTCCATAAAGGGCTGCTGGGTGGGAATGGACAGATAAAGGAGCACAAAAGATCATTTTCTTAATTATCATTCCAGAATTGAAATGACATTGAGTCTAATAAAGCAAATTATATAGACGATTCATATCCTGAGTAAAACTAATTTGGAATTGAAGCATAGTTGAAGCCGAGTCTAGGGAAAAGAAGTCCTCACTCTGAGAATAACATATCAACATCTTACGGTACAAGTTTTATCGGAAAAAAGAAAGTGAGTATTAAGACCAGCCATGGAAAACGTCTCTTGGCCGACGAAAGGATGCTCGCATCAGGTGGCTCAAGTTATCTAGTCTCGACAAGCATGAGGCTTTAATGACTAGCCCAGACCGAATTCAAGTAATCTCATCATGCCTTTAAAAAGTTGTGGCGATCCTCGCATCCCAAGTATTGCAAGGTCGGTACTCAAGAGTTACTCATTTACAAGTTCCATTGGCAAAAGACTTGGGAATGATATAAACTGGTAATTTTCATAATCAAGCTTAACATTGCACTCAAAATCAAGTTTTACTAATTTCTACCTTTTTTCTTTTTGAAATTGGTAATGTTGTATTCCTCAGCACTATGCATATTTTAAAGACCTTCAAAAAGAAGCCAAGAAAAAAAAAGAGTAGGAGAATGCTACTTTCAGAGATCCTAACAAATCTTCTACTTCTAATTCATCTATTTCTATCTTTTTACACCAATAACAAAAAGATACAATACAATTCCATTTAACTTTATGGATGGACTTGGCCCTATCTTCAAAGTTTCTACTATCTCCCCCTTTCCATACATTCCACCATATACAATGCGGGATGACTTTCAACCATCTCTTCTAGCTCTTGCTTCCTCCTCTTCTAATCCAACACTCAGCATATCTGTTGATTGCTCAGGCATGGTCCATATTGTATCTGTGAAGGAAGAAATAAGGTTCATAGTTGTGCAGTGAATTTACAATGCAAAAAGAGGTGATTGTTTGTCTCTTTTGTTTCCCCGCAAACTTGGCATCTGGAAACTATGATACGGCCCTTCCTCTTCAAAGCCCAATCTGTTAGGCAAGCCTTTCTTACTACCAATCAAGTGAAGCATTTTACTTTAGTTAGAGCTATGTTCTTCTATACATTATTCCACAAAAATTGTCGTCTTCTGTTTTGATGTGCATTACTCATTTCACAAGCCCTCTAAATAGAGAATTTTCCTTCTTTTTCGTGCTCCATCTCATGGAGTCTGAATTTGATGTAGTGCTTGAGAAGTCATCTAGTAGAAGAAGTGTGTTGGCACCCTTTCCACCTAATAATTTAATAATCATTTAAAAGAAAAACCACATCCGTGATCGGTCCAACATTCTTCGACAATTGATTATGGGTTGCTGCATGTGAAAAGAAGTTGAAAGGGTTGAGATCTGATGGAAATAGGCCACCTGAATGAGGACCCTAGATACCCAGAAAGGGTCTCTAAGGTTTTGGTCTTGGGGAGAGTGCCTGGGAGCATTTTTCTCTCCAAGTCCCAATGGACTCCTCAGTATTTTGGATGTTAGTTCACTAATTTCTCACCATAGAAGTATCAGAAAGAGATAGGCTTCTCATCTAATGCCGAGACACACTAGAATGTTACCACTTTAGTGTTCACATTCAATCAAATTCAACACCGCACTAGTGGAAACTGAAGGCTTACAGTTGCATCGAAAAAGGAAAAAACAAACACTTAACCACGAATAAAGTGCCAACAATATCAAAGAGCAAAGTTATGTTGGAGAACACATACAGTCAAAGGAGCTGTAGGACCTCCATCGTCATCGTCATTAGGCATAGCATCACCATTCAGATCAAGCTCAGAAGATCTTTTCCACTCAGGTGTTGGAGGACAAACAACCATTTCAGGTTTTTTCTCATGATAGAAGGCATATAGGGCATCAACATAGTCTGGCTTATAGATCCCAGGAGGACGAGCATCAGAAAAAATTTTAATTGCCTGCATATCAGTACTCTGATTATTCACACCCAGAGATATGTGTTTAAATTTGAAGCAAGAAGGATGTAGCATCGCAAAAATACTAACCTGACTGACAGATATTGGTAGTGTACGCATAAGATAATGAATGATCATAAACCCTGTGCGGTTATGCCCATGTGTGCAGTGGACAAGAATATACTTCTTTGCATGTTTCTGACGGGCAAGAAATTGTGAAACCTGATAGAAGCGATAAATATTAACGTCAAGTTCCTTTCAATAGAATTCAGTGTGATATGTTAGCCTTTATTTGCTTAAAGCCTTGAAAAAAATAAAACTCATATGACAACATGCTTCTCATCAATGATGAGTCCTGATACTTAGAAAACCTAACTAGAAGTTAATAGAACACTTTTCGAATACTCTGACGAAGTACAGTATGTTTTATCTGAGACAAATTCTCAGAAAATACAGTTTCCATTGCAAATACAGTATTCCCCACAACTTTTTGCATTGGAAAAAGAAAAACGCTAAAATGGATTATGAACTTGAAAGGTCGTGGAGAGGGGTGCAAGTTCAAGCAAAGACGGGATATTAGCAAGGTGTATAGTCGGCTATTTTAGAAGAGGAGTGAAAGAGACCCCAACTCTACTAAATATTAGAAGGTGGGCACTCTCAACATGGAAGAACACTTTCGGGTGAACATATATGAAATGGCAGCAGCCAGGCAATTTCTCTTAGAGTTTCCAACTAAACACATGACAGAGCAGGTTTTACAAGGAGAATGGACATGGAAGAAGGAGAAAATCCAAATTGAATGCTGGTCACCGGTCGCTGGTTGTTGCACTGATATCCAAGAGACAGAGTGGACATCAATAATAGCTATGGGGCTGCCCTACATCTATGGTCTGAGAAAACCTTCAAGGCTATTGTGTGGTGTTGGTTAGAAACCTCTTTGAAAAACCATCTCAAATGAGAAAGACTAAACATAAGAGGAGGGCACAGGGTGCCATCAGTAGTGATCATAGAAGACAAGGGACTGATATACATAATACCCATTTCGAGTGAAATTCCGATGAGGGTGGATGTTGGAGAAGAGTGGAAGAATTTGTGAGATTTGAGAAATTATCGGGAGACTGGTTCACAAACACGAGAGGAGGGTTTGGTCCTTGATTTACTAAATAGAGAGGAAAGTGGGCCATCTGCAGGTGATCGGGTTTTTTCAGCAGAGATGGGCTTTGACCAGAAGCCCATTTGGAGTGATAAAGATTTTGGGCCCAAAAGCTTTATTTCCTCACGTTTGGTGGAAGAGCAAGATATGTACCCTCTTACGACACTATTACTGCTGAATAGATGCCAACAAACTTTGTACCACAAACCAAAATCGAGTCCTACATGCAGAGGAGAGATAGAAGGAATATAGAGCATCATACAAGTTTTTCACATCTAATCTAATCCATAAGAGAGGGTGATATCATCGAGACAGAAAAACGGGCAGCAGATATGAATTCAGAAATAACTGGGAATAAAAACACTCAATCGGCCGAACTTGAGCATTGGCCAGTCGAAGATGTTCAACCACTAGATACTCAAATGCAGATACCAGAGGTGGATGCATCATTATGGGTGTAACGTAATGTTATGAGACTCAGTAAACAATTCGAGGTGGATATTCAGGGGTACAAATGGGAAGTATGGTGTCTTCTCATGAAGCTACATAAAAGAAGACGGGAGAGACTAAACAATGCTAAAATTTCTTCTCCTAAATCAAAATGGCTAGAATGAAGTGAAGAATCTTCTTCCATTTGGGGTAAAATTTAAGGATGGAGAACCAAGAATTAGGGGAAAGGGAATATGCAGTGGGTCTCAATGGAAGTCCATATCATCTCGTGGAATGTGAGGGGATTGAATGACATCAACAAAAGGAGGGTGATCAGATCTCTAATTCAAGATTTGGGCGCTGATTTTTACTGTTTTCAAGAAACAAAAATGGAAGGCCAATATGGGGAAGTTGTCAAAATATCTATTAAGTAACAGGTGGGCTGATTATGTGGAATTGGATGCCAATGGAAGAAGTGAAAGGATTGTTATCATGTGGGATAAAAGGTGCTGGACAGGAGAATTAATCCACTAAGGTGTATATTTTTTTTCTTGTAAATTAAGCTCTACAACAGAAAATTACAGTGCTGACTGGGGTTTAGGCCACAAATTGTCGAAGGAAAAGGGGCAGTTATGGTTGAAATTAGGGGGTACCAAGTGGGTATGTGAAGAACCTGGGTAGTGCAGGGGGATTTCAATACTAACAGATTACACTCATAAAGAAAGAACTGTATAAACATCTCGAGAGCCATGAAAAAATTCTCGGATGCCATCGAGGGGCTAAAACTTATTGACCCTCTACTTCTGGGAGGAAAATACACTTGGATCAGAGGAGACAATCATGAAGGTTACTCTCAGATTGATAGATTCATGTACTCGGCGGAATGGGAAATAATCAGTACTTCCAAGGATCATATCTGACCATTCTCCTATTTTTTTGAAATGTGGGGAGTGGGACTTTTCAAAGTCTTACTTTAAATTTGTGGATGGAGGTTCCTGGAATTAACGAGAGGGTGGAGGAACGGTGGAATTAATGTGAAGCACAAGGAAAACCTGATAGTGTTTTGTCTTGTAAACTAAGATTCCTCAAAACATAAATTGAAGAAACGGAATACTGCTTACGGGAGGAATCTAAAGGCTAAGAAAGTTGATAGGCTTTCTACTAGAGTTCCCCGGATACCATACAAGACCAAAGAATGTTGTCCGAGGATGAATTACTATTGAAAGCAAGCTTCAAAATGGAGTATCAAGAGGTGGCCAAAAATGAGGAAATTTCTTGGAGGCAGAAATCCAGAATCTTATGGTTGAAATAAGGAGACAAGAATACTAAATTCTTTTAAATGATGGCCTATTAGGATTCAATTACATTGACACCATAGAAGCTCATGGAGAGAGCATAACTGATCCAGATAAAATCAAGGAAGAGATTGTGGATTTCTATAAGAATTTGTACTCTGAGACAGAAAGCTTTATTAAATTTCGAGAAGGCTCAATAATCACTAAAGATGATAATGATTGGTTGCAAAGAGAATTTGAAGAACAAGAGGTACTGGAATGCTTGAAGTTATGTATTGCTGACAAAGCTCTAGGCCCAGATGGATACTTTATGGGATTTTTCCAATGCAGCTGGGAAATTATAAAAACGGAAAAGGGCCTAAAATACCTCGAAGTATTGAAAATGGTACACAATTACCCTCCATCCACCTATTGGCCCCCAAATACCCTTCACATCCACCTTTGGGTCCAAATTTACCCCTTCATTAACAGACCAAAATTAAAAATAATTAAATAATAATTTTTAATGACGTGGCACTCAACGATTGGTTGTAATTTAATTATTTAAAATAATTTTAAACCCACCCATTACCCACCCATTTTAACTAAACCCACCCATTACTTTCCCATTCATTTTTCCCTTATTACCCTTCTCTCTCCTAACTTTCCCATTCATTTTATAAGGGAAAGTTAAAATGGGTTTTTTCCCTTGTTTTATCAGTTATGAAGTAAGTTAAAATTATTTCTTAGTGAAGTCTTCCTCAATTTACACAGATTTTCTCGGGAAAACATCTTATTCTGTTCCTTTAATCACATGTCTCGGATTTTTCGTCTCTGAATACAGAGTAGCCTTTGTTAGGGATCTAGAGTACCAAACACTATCCATGTGTTTGGCAGAATCCTGTTAAAAATCTATGTATAAATAATTTATCGAAAAAATTAATTGAACTTTTTTTTGGTTAGAATCTAGGACTCATAAATTCAAAATTGTGGATTGTTACGGCTTGTAATGTACTCAGTTTTTATGTAGTACTGCTAATTAGTTTTTGTAATATTCAAACTTATGCAGAAAGTGAAAGAACAGGGGATAGAAAGTGAAGTACCGGAATCAGGCGAAGAAATTGTGTGTGCACAAAAGACGATTTTCTGCCGGAGGAGTTCAAGAGCTGGGGAAATTACGCGAATGCGCTGAGGCAAGAGAAGGGTAATATGGGAAAAATCAATGGGAAAGTAATGGGTGGGTTTAGTTAAAATGGGTGAGTTTAGTTAAAATGGGTGGGTTTAAAATTATTTTAAATAATTAAATTACAACCAATCGTTGAGTGCCACGTCATTAAAAATTATTATTTAATTATTTTTAATTTTGGTCTGTTAATGAAGGGGTAAATTTGGACCCAAAGGTGGATGTGAAAAGTATTTTGGGGGCCAATAGGTGGATGGAGGGTAATTGTGTACCATTTTCAATACTTCGAGGGTATTTTAGGCCCTTTTCCGTTATAAAAAAGGATGTGATGCACACTATCAGAAATATTCACAGGAATAATTATTTGGAAAAGTGTTACAATGCAACTTGTGTTTCCTTGATTCCTAAGGAAATTGGTGCCAAATGTCTTAGAGATTTCAGACATATAAGTCTAATTGGGAGTGTGTAAAATTAGCTCTAAGCTCCTCACTGAAAGACTCAGGCGAGAGTGGTTGATAAACTGGTGGATAGACATCAAATGACTTATCAAAGGTAGACAAATCACGGATGCAGCATTTATAGCCAATGAGTGTGTGGATTCTAGAATCAAATACCAGACTCTTGGTATTCTCTGCAAACATGACATTGAGAAGGCTTACGATCATGTTAATTAGAATTTCCTCCGAAAAGTTCTAAATGAAAAGGGTTTTGGTATGAAGTGGATTAGATGGATAACCCCATCTGTATTAAGACTGTCAAATTTTCTGTTCTGGTAAATGGATCTCCTGAAGGGTTCTCTTCCGAGAGAAGATTGAGACAAGGTGAACCTCTCTCTCCTTTCCTCTTCTTATAGCTATGAAAGGACTGAATCAGATGTTTGAAATTACAAAAGACTTAGGAGACCTGAAGGGTTTCAAGGTTACAGACAGGTAGAGCATTGGGAACTGGGAAAGAGAACATCCATTTACTTTAGGCAGATGATTCTCATTTGTAGTCTGTGATGCTGATATTGAACAGGTCAAACATCTGAGAGCTATTCTGGTCATTTTGAGGCAGTTTCTAGGCTGCATGTCAACTGGCATAAGAACAGTTTATTCCCGGTTAATAAAGTGGACAATATTCAAGAACTTACAGGTATTCTGGGATGCATGGTGGGTTCCCTACCTACTACATTTGGGGCTAA